ATGAAAGTCCCCAATAGTATAGGTAGATACCTACGCAAACCCGACAGTGGAATACACAAGACAGGCAGGGTGTAGGGATACTAAATGTATGTTGTGCTAGCTGCTTTATTCCCCTTAAAGCTGTTCTGAGTTTTTCAAGCACTGATCGTACATAGACAGGTACCCTTGATAGAACAGAATGCTTCAGATTTGTAGGTCCTTTTCTCTCATTGGCTTCTATTATAGTAGCAGAACTGCTACTATAATAGAAGATTATATTATAAAAATTATAATATTAGATTATATTAGAAAAATATTTGGCCTCTAAGTCTAATACAATTGTATGTATGCAACAATTCTTTCAAAATAGTTAACAAAAAAATTACAACATTTTCCGTAAAATTAAGAGTTCACCTATTGAAAGTACAAAAACAAAAAACCTGAAGCAGACAGAATCTTGAGGAATGAGTATATGGATAACCAAGTTTTTCAACCAGCTAATAGTTTATTGCATAAAAACCTTTTTAGAAATCGTAAGGAAATTGTTATAGACATTTTTTGCCTAAAATTGGTATGTGTGACTAAAATCTTTTTATTGTCATTCTTTGATGCTCTATCATAATGGAATAATGAAATGTTAGTATATTTTCAGTATAAAATTCAAGACCACATGTGGGTCATTAAGTTAACTCATATTTTTAGTACCTGTTCATATGGTGCATCTCCAGGTAGGTTATAATGTGAATTGTGAAATCATCCCAGCACGAGTGAGTAAATTTGGGATGGTTGCTGCACTAGGGTGGATATGTTCAAAATGCTGAGCTCCTATACTTGAGCAGCTTGATTGTTTGGATGAAAATAACAAATGTATTGGAATTCCTATTACTTTTCCTACACTTCTTTAACATGGAAAAGAGCTTTATTCAGACCTTTTGCTTAGCTATCATGTTCCTTTTTAGTTTTCATTTTCTATTTTGACATAATTTCAGTTTCTCAGGAAAGTTGTAAGAGTAGTAAAAATTTCCAGTATCTTGCCAGTACGTCAAATTCTAACATTTTACTGCATTATTCTTATTTCTTTCTCTTTTTCTGTCTTGCTATTTACATGCACACATTTTTTTTCCTAAACCAGTAAAGTTGCAGTTTATCCCTAACTGCTTCAGTTTATTCAGAGTATTCTCTTATCAGAAGACATTCTTCATTATTAAAATTAGGGAGGCTGGCTCTGTGGCCTAATGGGCTAAAGCCTCCACCTGTGGCACTGGCATCCCATATGGGCTCTGGTTCTAGTCCCGGCTGCTCCTCTTCCAATCCAGCTCTCTGCTATGGCCCGAGAAGGTAGTAGAAGATGGCCCAAGTCCTTGGGCCCTTGTACCCCAGTGGGAGACCCAGAAGAAGATCCTGGCTCCTGGCTTCGGATCTGCCCAGCTCCAGCCATTGAGGCCATTTGGGGTGTGAACCAGCAGATGGACGACTTTTCTCTCTGTCTATCCCTGTCTGTTTGTAACTATGCATCTCAAATAAATAAATAAAATCGTTAAAACAATAGAAATTAACATTGCAGCATTACTGTTAACAGGCTTTATTCAGTTTTCATGGGTGTCCTAATGTATTTATAACAAAAGAAAATTACAAATCATTGTTGCATTTAGTTGTCATTACCCTTGGGGCTCCTCTAATCGGTATCAATTCCTCAATCTTTGTCTATAATGACATTGTTAGTTGAAGAATTATTTTATAGAATGCCTCTCAGTGTGAGTTTGTTACAGTCATGTTCGTAATCACCTCATTTAATAGGTCAACAATCAAAACATTTCTTCTGTCATTCTCTTGGCTTACAGAGAGAACTTTGTTTCAGTTATTTTAAAAATTATTTTTGTTCAGTTACAAAACTTGTCTGTGTTTTGTTAAGCTACCTAAAGTAACTGTTGTTAACAGACATATGTTCTTCCTTCCTTGAAGAAATATATATGTATATTAAGAATATATACCAGGGGCCGGCATTGTGACATAGCAGATAAAGCTGCCACTTGCAATGCTGACATCCCATATGGATACCGGTTCATGTCCTGGTTGCTTCACTTCTGATCCAGCTCCCTTTTGATGGGCTGTGAAGGGCAGTGGAAGATGGCCCAAGTATATGGGCCCCTGCTAACCATGTGGGAGACCTGGAAGAAGCTTCCTGGCTCCTGGCTTGAGCCTGGCCATTGTGGTCAATTGGGGAGTGAACCAGCAGATGGAAGATAAATCTGTCTCTCTCTCTCTCTTTGTAACTCTGACTTTCAAATAAGTAAATAAACCTTTTAAAAAAAAGACTATATACTTATGTATAAACACATATAAATAAGTATATGCCGTTAAATAATCATTGTATAATCACTTTTTGTTTAAGTTGAATCTTACTGTGTACTTGTATAGATACACAGAAATATTATTCTGCTGTTTAATTTCTTCATCTATCATTTCTTTTTAATAGGTAACTTACATGATATTTTGTTTATGGTTGTCCTGTAATATACTGAGCCAGTCTCTTTTAATGAGTGCTCAGGTTATAAAAAGATCATTGTGTGGTAGAGTGTTTTAGTAGAATATATTCCTAGTGGTGAAATTATAGGATCAAAAGGTATGCAGATAAAATATTGCCAGCCCATGCAGAGAGAAATCTAAGATTGTTTTAGTTTGATTCCTACCCTCTGGCATTTGTTACCAAGGTCTTACCAAGCATGTATAATATTCACTGTGGACAAGTATTCAAGTATTTCTGTCAACTAGTTAATGTAAACATGACTCGTGTTTCTATGATTCTTTGATAGGCTTTATTTTATTTGTTTGAAAGAGTTAGAGAGAGAGGTAGAGACAGGGAGAAAGGTCTTCCATCCACTGATTCACTCCCCAGATGGCCACAACAGCTGGAGCTATGCTGATCTGAAGCCAGGAGCCAGGAGCTTTCTTTGGGGTCTCCCACATGGGTGCAGGGGCCCAAGAACTTGGGCCATCTTCTACTGTTATCCCAGGCCATAGCAGAGAGCTGGATTGAAAGAGGAGCAGCCGGGACTTGAACCGGTGCCCACATGGGATGCCAGAGCTTCAGGCCAGGGCTTTAACCCACTGTACCACAGTGCTGGCCCCCCAAGTAATTTCTTTGAACTCTTCCAAGTAATCCTGGACTGTTGTCATCATAACTGCTAATTGAAGGAACTGCGAGTTTCCCCGCCCCAAGAAAGGCAATTAGAATTAATAATTTAAGAATCATGTCATTATTGAAAGTAAGGCAATCCCTAATATAAGGACTTATATGATTTATAGTCCCTGGCTTTATGAGCTCTGCTTTGTGTGTGTGTGTGTGTGTATGTGTGTGTTATGCACTAGGTGACAGCCCACAGGTTTGCCTGTCAGGCTTTGTAGGCCACAGCCCCACTGACCATTAGTTTAGGAATTGAAATCCATTTATGGTTAAATAAGCTGTGGTATACTAGCTTGGAAACTCAGCACTCCACTGTGATTATTAGCTTGTTTAAATCCAGACCAAGGATGTCCATGTTAAAACATTATATCTCAATAAAGGAAATGCCATTTCTAAGATAAGCCATACTGTGAATATTACCTTTGGTTTAAGATGGTGGTTTCTAACCATGACTTGACTTTAGAATCACTTGGAAGATTTAAAATTTAAAAAAAAATGTTCACCACTCCACCGCACTCAAAGATTTGAATTTAGCTGGACAAGGTGGAGATGTGGCATTGCCAGGGATTCTAATATGCAGTCAAGGTTTAGAGTCACTGATATAGCATAGGATAGAGAGCTCCCCCTTTTATTTTAAGATGTATGTGTTTACTTATTTGAAAGTTAGAAGTACAGAGAGAGAAGGAGGAACAGAGAGATCTTCTATCTTCTGGTTCACTCCCCAGATGACTGCAACAGCTGGGGCTGAGCCATACTGAAATCAGGAACCAGGAGGTTCTTCCAGGTCTCCCACATGGGTGCAGGGGTCCAGGCACTTGGACTACCCTTTGCTGCTTTCCCAGGTCCATTAACAGGGAGCTAGATCAGAAGTTAAGTAGCCCAGACTCAAACTGGTACCTGTATGAGATGCCGGCACTGCAGTTGGCGGCTTAACCCACTGTGCCACAGTGCTGGCCCCAATAGAGAACCCTTAAAATTTGCAGCACAACTGGAATGTAACTGATATTAGCTTAATACAATTATCCAAAATAAGATTTGATTAAGCATAGGAACGTGTTTGAAATTATCCATGTGTAGGGGCCAGCGCCGTGGCTCACTTGGTTACTCCTCCACCTGCGGCACCAGCATCTCATATGGGCGCCAGGTTCTAGCCCTGGTTGCTCCTCTTCCAGTCCCGCTCTCTGCTGTGGCTCGGGAGGGCAGTGGAGGATGGCCCAAGTGGTTGGGCTCCTGCATCCGCATGGGAGACCAGGAGGAGGCACCTGGCTTCTGGCTTCGGATCGCCGGGCACAGCGCCAGCCATAGCAGCCATTTGGGGGTGAACCAACGGAAGGAAAACCTTTCGGTCTCTCTCTCTCACTGTCTATAACTCTAGCTGTCAAATAAAAAAAATTATCCATGTGTAGAGTTTTTTGTTTTTGTTCTAACCCTTGAGAAGGGCAAAGTTACAGGATTGAACTAGAAGTTGCCACTCAGTTGTATCCCTGGGAAAGAAAAGTAGGCACGTAGAAGAATTCATAAGCTTCTATTTGGACCAGATAGTAAATATTTTAGTTTTTGTGAGCCACATACAGTCTCTGTAGCTCATTTCTCTTCATTTTGCTTTTCATTAACCCTTTAAAAATGTAAAAGCCATTCTTAACTTCCTCAAAACAGGTAGTAGGTAGATCTGACCCACCAGCCATGATTTGCCAACCTTAATCTAAGCATTTGTTGTTTTTCCCATGAAACAGTTTTGTTGATGAGGTTATCTAATTGCTTTTTTGTTTTTGTTTTGTCTTAGTTAATTCATCTGCTTACACTGTTTACATGGGAAAGGATAAATATGAAAGTAAGTTTTCAAAAGCATTTGAGTTTGAAATTTGCAGCAGGTAAGTGTTGCCTCCCCCTCCACCCTCCCACCCATACAATCTGATGGATGAGTTTTAATGACACATAATAATAGCAGATATGGGGCATAGTGTGATATTTCTTTGCTTGTATGCATTGTGTAATTATTGTATCAGGGTAATTGTAATTAGCATATCCATCACCTCAAACATACATCATGTCTTTGTGGTAACAAAATTCAAAATCCCCTTTTCTAGCTCTTTTGAAGTATACGGTATATGATTTTTGCCTATAGTTAACTTGCTGTGCCACAGAGAAATAGAACTTCCTTCTATCTAACAGTAACTCAGACCCACTGACCAACTTTTCCCCATCCACCTCTACCCCCTCATTTTCCCTAGCCTCTGGTAATCTGCTTCTATGAGATCAGCATTTTTAGATTTCACAGGATACGAGTTTCCAGGTCACTGCTTTGGTAAGTTAGCTTCTGAGAAAACAAATTTCCCATTATAAGAAACTCTAAAGGATTAGTTTTTCCTAAAAGTTACTTGTATCAAATAATATTTGAGTTCATTAGGCCAACTGTTGCTTTTGCTTTACAAAGTTTTTTTTTTTTAATTTTTTAATTTTTTTTTTTGACAGGCAGAGTGGACAGTGAGAGAGAAAGACAGAGAGAGAAAGGTCTTCCTTTGCCGTTGGTTCACCCTCCGATGGCCGCCGCGGCCGGCGTACCACGCTGATCCGATGGCAGGAGCCAGGTGCTTCTCCTGGTCTCCCATGGGGTGAAGGGCCCAAGTACTTGGGCCATCCTCCACTGCACTCCCTGGCCACAGCAGAGAGCTGGCCTGGAAGGGGGGCGACCGGGACTAGAACCTGGTGTGCCGGCGCCGCAAGGCAGAGGATTAGCCTAGTGAGCCGCGGCGCTGGCTTTACAAAGTTTTATTGTATCATTTGATTTAGAGTTCTAGGAATCATGCTAATGTAAATCAAGTGATCTTAGCCATTTGGATTTTGAAGAGATCATTTTCGGTACTTTTTTTTTTAACTTTTTTTAAATGAGTAGAAACATTTATTGGTTTTCTTGAGGTTGAAGATACTCATTTGGAGTCCTGAAATGTTGACCAAGCTTCTTGGTATGAAATACATTATATCTTGATATACATATTTATATAAAACAAAAATTTACAGAAAGCACCAAAGCTATTTGTTATGCCTTCTATTTTCTGTTTTATTTCAATTTTTTTTTTAACAGGCAGAGTGGACAGTGAGAGAGAAAGGTCTTCCTTTGCCGTTGGTTCACCCTCCAGTGGCCGCCGCGGCCAGCATGCTGCGGCCGGCGCACTGCGCTGATCCGAAGGCAGGAGCCAGGTGCTTCTCCTGGTCTCCCATGGGGTGCAGGGCCCAAGCACTTGGGCCATCCTCCACTGCACTCCCTGGCCACAGCAGAGAGCTGGCCTGGAAGAGGGGCAACCAGGACAGAATCCTGCACCCTGACCGGGACTAGAACCCGGTGTGCGGGCGCCGCAGGCAGAGGATTAGTCTATTGAGCCGTGGCTCCAGCTTATTTCAATTTTTTACAAAGCTAGTCTCATCCTGATAAATTCATTTAGCTCTTGAATTTGAACTAAAGTTTAAAAGAACCACACTGATTTAGGGAATAGCCTTTTTGGCTGCATGAGTTGGGAGGGAGACCAAAGGGAAGCTGCTGTGGTGATCAAGAGAGCAACAAGTTTACAGCATTGATCCTCAGAGGTGGAACCTGGAGATAAGGAAGGAAAGATCTGCCAACTAGGGTGCTTAGAGAAAATGAGTGTTATTCTTTGTGTTTGAAAAACACAGCTGCTCTTCTCTGGGGGTACTGTGATGTTTTGGAAAAGATAGCTTTGGAATCGGGCCAACCTGGGTTACAATTGCAACTCTATTAAACTATCTATACTTAATCTCTTTGTACCTCTGATTTTTTAGCTGTAAGAAGAGGATCATGGGACAGATTCACTTTGCAGGGTTGTGAAAGTTAAGTAGTGTGTCTGGCATATAGGGATGCCCAATGGTAATTATCACCTCTAGAATTTCTTAAGCTCCTGAGTTCCTTCTCCACAACCCCCACTCACACCCCTATAAGGACACTACTGTGGGGCTGGTTGACTCTCCCTGAAGAGCTGACTCATTCACTTTAATTATCTTGTAATCTCCAGGTACTTCTTTTTTTTTTTTTTTTTCTTTCTAAAAACAGCAGTTCCTGTTATAGTTGCAGTTTGAAATTGACAACAGTTCAAATTAATCATTTGTATGGGTTTATTTATTTATTTAATTTTATGTGAGAGACAGACAGAGCTCCTATCTGCCGGTTTAATCCCCAAATGCCTATGATTGCTAAGGCTGCACTGAACCAAGGCCAAGGCTGAAGCCAGGAGCTAGGAATGCATTCCAGGTCTCCCACATGGGTGGAGAGAATCTAATTACTTAAGCCATCAGTGCTGCGGCCCAGGGCCTACATTAGCAGGAAGCCAATGAGTTCAGGAGCTGGAAGGGTGTATCAAACTCTGGTACTCTGTATGGGATGTGCGTGTCTAATGGCATTTTAAAAAAGAAAAAATTATTTGAAAGGCAGAGTTACAGAGAGGCAGAGAGAGCTTCCAACTGCTAGTTCACTCCCCAAATGGCTGCAATAGCCAGAGCTGTCCCGGAACTTCATCTGCGTCTCCCACATGGGTGCAAAAGCCCAGATCCTCTGCCTCCTGCCTTCCCAGGCACATCAGCAGGGTGCTGAGTCGGAAGTGGAATAGCCGGAACTCAAACTAGTGCCCATATGGGAATGCTGAAGCTGCAGGAAGCAGCTTCACCTGCTACACCACAGCACTAACCCCTCTTAACAACATCTTAACCACTAGGTCAAACACCACCCCATTTGTCTGCTATTAAAAGAAGCATGGGTACCATTCTTCATCAGAGACATTTTGACATTAATGAAATAAATTAGACCAAAAATGGTTACCATAGAGCAGAATCAATATAAGCAACACTGTCAAATCCTGGCCAAGAGAGTAAACCAAAGATTAGCTTAAATAACATTTTGAAATAGCTTTTCTTTGTTATGAGTGTATGACTTTGACTGTGGGTATAACCTAATAGTGAAGCGATATGTTATGTTGATACTTGAATTTTTTATTTCCCTAGTATAAATGTAGAAGGAATTTTTTTGTTCTTGTAGCATCCTCCTGATGTAGCTAAGGAGGGGATGCTGTCTCCCTATGTTACATTGAACATTAGGGGCCAATGATAAGAGTCAAGGTTGTCTACAAGTAGGTATCAATGCAAATCTTCTGACCAAGTCTGTTTTTCATTCTGCCACATCAAGGGTGTATAACATAGGTTACTGATAAATCCCTACAGCAGAGCCACTATGTATGATTGTGCAGGTTTTGCACTGCGCAGTCTTGGGACCAGGGATCTCTCTCTATATATTTGAAAGGCAGATTGACAGGAGGTGAGACAGAAAGATTCCTTTAAACATTGATTATAGGAATTTATATCTACAGATATAGATCTAGATGTAGAATATATGTCAGATGATATTTAGAGCTCTCAGGTATCATTTTGCTGGCATTAAAGTGTGTGTGTAACATTTTTTCCTTAGGAACTCATGAGATCATTTGGAGCTGTCAACTTTTCCTTGTTTTTATAAGAAAGGGCTCTACAGTTTCATAGCACCGTGGTTTCTAGCTCTCCTAGTACATCACTTATTTCTAATAGCTTTGGCAACTTCAGATTAAGGACTAGATATAACATAAATGAATTTTAAGTGGAACAATTTACTTTCACTGAAAGGCTTTCAGGTCTGTTCTCTTTACTAGCCAGCAGGTGTCAGCAAGCAGCCAAGCATTGCCTGACTGCGGAAAGGAGGTTTTTATGTGTCCCTTTAATTTTCCTGATTACCTGTTGGTTATTTGCCTACCTTCTCATATAAGCGATTAGAAAGCCTTTCAGAAAAATCATAATGTTTACAGTTGTTAAGAGTGCCTTCCTCCAAAATTTGTAAAGCCCTGTTCAAATTATGTACATTCAATACTTTCTTGGATTTGTTTTGTTTTTGTTGGCAGATAAACAGAGACCTCCCATCTACTGGTTCACTGCCCAAATGCCAACAATGGCCAGGCTGGGCCAGGTCAAGACCAACCTGGGAAATCAATCCAGGTCTCTCATGTGGGTGACAAGTACCCAGTCACTTGAGCCATCACCATTGCTTCCCAGTGCCTGTGTTAGCAGGAAGCTAGTGTTAGGGGCCAGAGACAGATATCAAACACAGGTACTCTCAGGTGGGATGTAGGCATCTTAATTACTAGGCTGGACAATTGCCACTCTTGGATACATTTTAAATTATTACACAAGAATCATTTTCACTTTATAATTTTACATAGACATTTAACACAAAAACTTCTTTATTAAATAGTCATTAATAGTAATGTTGCTACCCAAAGAATATATTGATGTCACCTTCCCATAGTGTTGTGTTTTATTAACCTTAAGAATGCACGTACAGTGGTGGTATTCTGGCACAGCAGGTTAGCTGCTGTTCGGGACACGCAAATCCCATACTGGGGCATCTGGGTTTGAATCCCACCTCTGCTTCTGATCAACTTCCTGCTAATGCACACCCTGGGAAGCAGCAGATGATGTCTCAAAAGCTTGGGTCCCTGCCACCCATGTGAGAAACTCAGTTGAGTCCCAGCTGCTGGCTTCAGTTGGGCCCAGCCCTCCCTGGCTGTTGTCGATATTTGGGGGAGTGAACCAGTGGATGGAAGATCTCTGTGTTTCTCTCTGCCTTTCAAATACATAAAAATAAATAGTAAAAATTTCTAAAAAGATGTAAAATGCAATCCATTTTTTAAAAGTTTAAAAGCAAAATCACTTTAACATTTAAATATGATTACAGTGAATGGATTTTTTTATGTGTTTTCAAGCCTCAAATCCTCTCTGAATTATTCTTTCTCTGATAAGGGAGAAAAGGGAGAAAAAAATTATGGAAAGAATTGATATTTCTTCCCTTCTCAACTTATTATAAACCCTGGCACAACTTCATTTGATCATTTTTCTTACCTTTTCTTTTATCTTTTGTTTCTCATTGTAGATGAAGATCTGATAAAGTATGGCTGGCCTGAAGATATTTGGTAAGTCACAGTTTTGGTTCTACTTTCTATGGCTCACTTTTTTTTTTTTTTGGACAGGCAGAGTGGATAGTATGAGAGAGAGACAGAGAGAAAGGTCTTCCTTTTGTCTATGGCTCACTTCTTAGGAGCCATATGGCTTCACTTAGGAGCACTTCTTAGACTTGGCCAACCACCTGACTCCCAGAATTAAAACTAGAATTGGTGCTTTGCATTTTTGTTTATGACTTTTTAAAAAATATTTATTTATTTGAAAGAGTCACACAGAGAGAAGGAGAGGCAGAGAGAGAAAAAGAGAGAGAGAGAGAGAGAGAGGTCTTCCATCCGCTGGTTCACTCCCCAAATGGCCACAATGGCTGGAGCTGCGCTGATCCAAAAGAAGCTTCCTTCAGGTCTCCTACACGGGTGCGGGGGCCCAAGGACTTGCGCCATCTTCCACTGCTTTCCTAGGCCATAGCAGAGAGCTGGATTGGAAGTAGAGCTGCCAGGACTCCAACCGGCACCCATATGGAATGCCAGCACTGCAGGCGGTGGCTTTACCCGCTACGCTATGGCCCCTGTTTATGACTGTTTAATGTTAAATAGCCAACTGCCAGTTCCTTCATTTTTAATTACCGCAAAAATGGGGAATGATGTTTGGGGTTTGATCTCAAGCCTGAGAGCACATGCCTCCAGAACATAGGCTTTCTTTTCACTCCTCTGTCTCCTCATATACGTTTCTGAGACCACCAAGCTTACATGTTCAGACTCCCTCCCCATGCGTGGGTAGCTGAGGACTTCACAAGAAACACGCAGAAAGTAAATGCAAGCATCCATGAGAATGGATGAAACGGTGCAGCTGACCAGATCCATCTGTAAAGGAAACAAACTGCTTTCTCTTTGTCTTCTAAACTTTTTGTTGAGTTTTGCCCTGCGTTGACCCAGTTCTCATCCCTTCTTTCTAAAATAATTTATGAAAACTCTAAATAGTTATATATCATTTCCCAGCCTCCCTCTGAGATCCTTTATTTTGCTGTTCACCAAACCCAGTCCAAAAAACAAAAAGACTCCTTCCCTCTAGCTGATGTCTTTTCTCTTGCTGTCTCAGAATGCAGTATGGGCTTGTTCTGCCAGCCAGCTGCATGTCCTTGGATGAGGGCGTAGGCTCCTGGAACTTTGTTTCTATCTGGTTAACATTCTCACACTCAGTTTGCTTTCCTTTTCCATCTTCATCTTCCATCACTCTGACGCTGGGGATGTCTCTCTTGTAGCCGAGTTTTATCTGTTGAGTGGGTTATCATCTCCCCAACTACTCATACCCCCTACCAAATGCTGTCCAGGATGACAGTGCATGTAATTTCACAACTGCTCTGTGAAATAACTGTTGATGATGTGACCATTTCTCAAATGATCAAACTAAGGTTAAAGAAAACTGAATGGATATGGTCTGGTTGTCACTGACCCCAACCTTAGTTCTAAATTGCTGCTTCTGTTTTTCCCCAGACTACCATTCTTTGGGCTTCAGGTCACTCCTTTCTCCCAAGCTGTTGCTGCTGCTCTCTATGGACCCTGGACTCCTTTTCTCCACATGTGGGCCCAGACCCTTCATTTAATGCTCAGTAGTGATAGAGTAGAGGCTGCCATTTTTCAGTCGATGCATGGAGTAGGGGAACTGTTGTGCAGAGTGACTCAAGCTACCCTCAGATGTGGGTATGCTCAGCACCCCCAGCCTATCTTCAGGGGCTCCCTCAAGGGCCTCCTCCTGTGCTCTGGCCTACCATGTTACAAAGGAGCTAGTTCATGACCCTAGAGGAGATGCTGCCCTGTCTTTCTGCCCTCAAAAAGTCACATCCAGGAACCAAGAGGTCCCAAAACAGGAATTTTCAAGACTGTTTAACTCTGGCCCCAATCTCAGCATAGCAGCCAGCGTGTCTTCTGAACACAGTTATGTCAGCAAGTTAGGCTGCTCAGTGCCCCTTCCCAAGTGGGCAGTTTCCACTGCCAAGAACTTTAAATGCGGTGCTGCCTACCTTCCTAGGGCATTAGACCATGAACTTCATGAGAATAATGCTCCTTC